ACCTAAGAAATGAAGTATTAAAAATACGAATGAAATCAAATATATAATTACAAAAAGCCGTTCACACCAACTTTTTGAATGACCTACAACAATAACCGACCATATTACTTCTGCTTACAATTTATATTGACTTGGTTAAATTTTATTTAATATTTTACATATATTGTTATATATTGTAATAATAATAATATCATAATAATAAGCCATATATTATTTTAAAAAATATCACTACTGAATAATTAATAAAATTTTAAAACATTTTTTTATGAAAAGCTTATTTGCAGTATATAAATTCTTATTTGTCTCGTTAATAATATTTAAATTTTTAAGTTTTTTTATACATTATGTTTAATATATATAATTTAAAACAATGTGTTACAAAAATCAATTGTATATAAGGAATAAATATTAAATCAGGGAAAGTAATTTAAAAATGAATTCTGCAACCTTGTGGAATTTAAGAATTGTTGAAACTACAAAAAAGTTGAGAGAAACTAAGCATGAAGTAAGAACTATATTGTCTATCTATTTGAAGTCTCATGTCAATATCTACTACCAACAATTAAAAAAAAATTGTTTTACAATTTCTTATGTATATATGTATGTATGTGCATATTAATAAAAATTGATTATAGAATATGTATATAAAAATCTCATCGATAGAATATCACTTCCATGCCATATCTATTGATAACCTACTTCAATTTTTTCTGAGATATGTTACAATAACATAATAAAATAATAAAATAATAATATAATAAAAGTTTTTAAATTATTACTAGAATTCTTTTCTTACTCGAATCTACTTATGTTACTAGTTTAGTTCATCTAACATATAAAAAACTAATAAGCGTTTAAACAATTTGTTTCTTTAAAAAATCCAAAATGCATACCCGTATGCCTTGTAAACTGTAGGATATAATTAAGCAATTAAATACCATAGAAAGGAAAAAATACATACAGATACGAATGTGTATATGAAGGTATAAACAGGTAGCGTTTACCCTCTGATTTTACGTACGTCTTCTATATACTTAAGTTTCGGCTTATGCTTAGTTTAAAATTTTGTTTGCTCTGCCTTCTATATGGACGCACAATAAGCACTAACTCTCATCGGTTTCCAACAAGTCCGGCTTAAACATTTACATAATAAAATTGAACACTCAAAAATTTTACAGACATTGTGGGCATCGATATTTATTGTATATGTTTAAAAATGAGAATTGCTTAATTATCAAAATTTAGGTATATAACCAAATTCTAAAAATAAAATATAAGCCTAGGAATATTAAATTAATAACTTGTCCTTTATAGTTTCAACTGAAAATGTTAAATTCAACATTTTCAGTTTCAGCGATAATGAAGTCGTTTTCTTTATAATAAAGCAATAACAACTATATCTTAAAAAGTATATGAAAAACCGGAATATGTCAGGTAAACAAAATAACATGTTTAATACGAAAAAACGAACCGCACAATTCTTTGTGGAACCAAAAACATCAAAAACATTTTGGGCAGGAAGAAATCCATAAATGCTTTAATACATACACATAAACAATTCTATAAAAACTGGAGATATTAAATTTTTACCATCTCCTACATACATACAAACGAACTTAAGAGGTTCGCTCTCTTAACAAGAGATCAGTTGTGGGTGCGACTGTTTGTTAAATTCTGTTTACTTTTTTTGTAGTAAGCATTTGTATGAACGAGAAAAACATAATGAAGAACGTACACGAAAAAAGGATTGAATAGTTATACTGAGTATACTGAAGTTGAAGGGAGGCCGATCGATTGCTTTTCTCATTCTACTGTAGCATTTCCAAAATCATAAAGTGCATATGGCTTAATCACAATAAGAAATTTACAACTCTCTTTGCTATAGTGTGTAGTAAATTGGAGACTTACTTCAAAGAATATTACTTTTGTATTCCAAAATTTAAATGCATTAAATCAAGTGTTTTTTTTGTTTTGCAAATTAAACGGAATAGCATCATGAACACACGTGCATTTGTAGAAAATGCAAAATGCTCAGCTTATACACATTTATTACAAAATTTTAGGTTATACATGCTTTCAAAATATCAAAGCATATATCAGATTACATTCGCACATACTGATCTTACTCATTTTTAGTTGGTTTAAATCTACTCTTTTACGAAAGCATGAAAAATGTTTTCTTATTATTGAAGTATAAATAATAACGCTTAAAGTTTGTCCATATATGTACATATGTATGTATGTAGCAATGGCAGAGCGTAGCTCTGATATCATAATAACTATAGTTATTTTGTGTTTCAGCGCTGAGTAAAGCCACTTACATACATATCTTAAAACGAGTCCTTTAATAGTATGTTTTGTTTTTGTATTAATATTGTCTGCATTTCTCGTCTCTGATTTATTATATTTTCCGATTTAATAACATTGCATTGAGTGCACATTAAAGAATTGATAATATACGAAGGAAATCAAATTGTAAATCTATTGATTTACAGGTGAAATTTGAAATAAATTTTATAATTAATATCAAATTCAAAGAACATACAAATGCACAAGAATATTATATATATAAATATATATCTATATATATATGTATATACAAAATCTTTTATCTAATGAATTTATATGTTCTCAGAATTTTACGCATAATGGCATTCAGCCTCACTTCCAAGAGCGAGACTATGCCTTTTTTCGCTCTCTGATATTGCATTATTGCATATCATTTATGCTCAGCTCTTTATTGAGTACAAGCGAAAGTCTTAACTATTACTCTTAAATTTCGGTTGAAAGTTGAAGATATATTAAGTAATCATGGTTCTCTGTAGCATGCATATGAAATCTAGACAAATTTGTAGAAAAATTAGGTAAACAATGTCATGTTGTGCGAAATTAAGATCTCTGGAGAAACAGATGTAAGATACAAAATTGTATCTAAAAAACTTACATTTAGTTTCCTTTCGTAATTCGTGATTTTATGTTGTGCGGTGTCTGTAACGCGCTCACTTAAATAATTAACACAATAAAAATATTCAGTTAATTGTTTGTATTTACTTCTGTTTTAATAATAAGACACATAAATAAATAAATAAATAATTGGTTGCAATATATTTTATGCAGCAGTGATACCTAAGAATTTTTATATTTGTGAAAGTTTCAAAAGTTTTAAAAATTTGTAAAAGTGTAATAATAAATACTTCGTTAAAATGATTTGATAAAACTTAAACAGCAACTGTCAATTACAAAATATTTACACGCATATATATAAATATATATATATTTATTTAATTTCTACATATATGTAGAAAGAATATATAAATCAAGTGTTAGAAATGGATGCTTATACCTATTTTCCGCTGGCGTAAGTATATCGAAATTACATTAAAATTTTTAATTCAATTAGACATTCATCTGGCCAAAAACGACAAGTGTAGTTTTCACTTCATGTATCAATTAATGTTAGTCAACAATTATTTCTTACATTAACACTCATAAGTTTATGAGACTTAAGTTTCGATCTTAGGTTTTACAAATAATGCAGACAATATGTACTGTCAGTAATGTGTATGGTAGAATTCAAAGTAAATACGAGTATAAATTTTTAAAAGTAATAATTTGATTTGAGGCCATCTGTTGACAATTGCACGTGTCGGCAAAGTAAATCCTCCACTGATGTATAGTTAAGATTTCTGTTAAGCGGAATTGTTAGTTCTAAAGTGGGAGTTTGTTTATATTATCGGCATAAAAATGAGGATTAAATACAAACTATATTGTTTTTAACTTGGTTAAAGATTTAAAATGGTCATGAGTAGATTAATGATAAGCAATATATTGGCCCGACGAAATTGGTGATGGCACCAAATTTCGTCAAAACTGAACGTAAATCCAACAAAGATCTAGCAATCTATATATATATATATATATATATATTATATATATATATATATATATATATGAAATATATAATATATTTTATGTATATTGTTCCGTACAAGATACACTGATCACTAAAACATCCTCTTATCCAGGGCTGTTCAAATCAGATGCAATTGCGTGCCAATATAACTCACTCTACAGATTGGAAAGCCGCACAAACAAATACATACGTTT